CATGTGCCACCATGCCTGGCTAATTTTTGTATTTTTAGTAGAGACAGGGTTTCACCACGTTGGCCTGGCTGGTCTTGAACTCCTGACCACAAGTGATTTATCTGTCTCGGCCTCCCAAAGTGTTGGGATTACAGGCATGAGCCACCATGCCTGGCCCACCTTTTGCTACTCTGATGTAGTCATGGGAGGCAGTCATCATGTGACTATGAGGTGAAAATCACTGACATTCTGGGGATGGCAGAGTGGAAGGATAGAAAAACATAGGTTCTCGATAGAAGTGACTTGCCAAAGTGACCTTGGAACCACCTGTGTTAGAAAAATCAGGCATCTTTGTGTTGATTTTTCATCAGTATTTCATCACTTGTTGGAGCTCATCCTAACTGAAATAGCACCCATGGAATTTGGCAGTTGCTCCAGTTATCAATGGCTTTTGAAGAATAGCATTTGTCAAGTTGTGGAGGGGCAAGCCTGATAATAATAGATTAAGAAGTAATCTTGGCCAGGCATGGTGGCTCATGCCTGTAATCACCACTTTGGGAGGCCAAGGCGGGTGGATGACCTGAGGTCAGGAGTTTGAGACCAGCCTGACCAACATGGAGAAACCCCATCTCTATTAAAAAAGACAAAATTATCCGGGTTTGGTGGCACACGCCTGTAATCCCAGCTACTTGGGAGGCTGAGGCAGGAGAATCATTTGAACCAGGGAGGCGGAGGTTGGGGTGAGCCGAGGTTGTGCCATTGCACTCCAGCCTGGGCAACAAGAGCGAAACTCCATCTCAAAAGAAAAAAAAAAGAAGTATCTTAATTGTGCATGGTGGTGCAAGCCTATAGTCCCAGCTACTCAGGCAGAAGGAGCACTTGAACCGAGGAGTTCCAGATCAGCCTGGGCAGCATAGGGAGACCCTCTTTCAAAAAAACAAAACAAAACAAAACAAAAAATAAGTAACTGGAAAAATTCCATTTCTGACAATTTGGGGGACCAAATAAGAAAGACCAAATAATCATAGAGAAATTACGGATAAAATATAACCAACGTTCTTTTACGTGTGTAGCTGAGCTCTCAGAAAGGGAAGAAGGGAGTGCCGGGACAGAGGCAGCAGTGCGGCCCAGCCACCATGGCACTGCAGGCTGATTGACAGGGCTGCAGAAGACGTGAGGAAGCTGCAAACAAAACCAGATGATGGGTCGGGCATGGTGGTTTACGCTGTAATCCCAGCACTTTGGGAAGCCGAGGTGGGTGGATCATGTGAGGTTAGGAGTTTAAGACAGCCTGGCCAACATGGCAAAATCCTGTCTCTACTAAGAACGCAGAAATTAGCCGGGTGTGGTGGTGAGTGCCTGTAATCCCAGCTACATGAGAGGCTGAGGCAGCAAAATCACTTGTACCCAAGAGGTGGAGGTTGCAATGAGCTGAGATCTTGCCACTGCACTCCAGTCTGGGTGACAGAGCGATGTGTCATCTAAAAAAAAAAAAAAAAAAAAAAAAAAAAAAAAAAAAAAAAAAAAATCCAACTTCATCAACAACAAAACACATGATGAAAAACTAAAAGAACGCTATGGACTTTACAAACAAGCTATAATTGGAAATATTAATATTGAGTATCTGGGAATGCTGGGTTTAAAGGGCAAGGCCGAATGGGAAGCA